TTAAATCACCCAGAATAGTCAAGGTACCAGGGATTGCCCGATGTAGCAGGAACAGACTCAGCGTGGCATAAAATTCATCCACAGCGTTTGCCGCGTCGTCTCCTTTAACAGATGACCTCCCATGAAACCAAGTCCCTTATACCTGGATGTGAACCTCGCCGTAATGATTCAGTTCGATACGATGTTTCAGCTACAAGGCAGAACAGCGCCTTCCGTTGTATTACTTGACCAATAGCGGCCATGGTCTCTAACGGGCAGAGGCTTTGTTTCAAGCATCCGCGTACCGTATGTTCAGGCTACGTGCATTCCTACAACCTAGTGCAAGTTTCACGCTCCAACTGCCTTCGACATTTAAGAGTAAACGGTTGATGCAGTTCTTATGGTTCATAGGAGACGTGCATTGATAACAGGATTAGAGGATTCATGTACTGTACAGATATTGGAAATAATTACTTGCTTCGTTACATCACATGAGGAACGAGAGGAAACCGTTTATGAATGCCATTCCACAGTAGTCCATCTCAAAACCATGACATGTACCGTTGTTTCTTTGCTCTCATTCACTGTAACTCTGATTATTGGCAAGGCCGATGCTGTCATTAACATCGGTAGCCAAATAAGCTAATGTTTCCCTTGCGGGTTCTTTGCCTTATTCAATAAAAAACTGTCCAATCTTTCAAACTTTTCTATTGATTCAGTGCCAGTGCTTGAATTTGGAAGCTTCCTAGATATAAGATCTTCCAATACGTCAATTCTGACATGAGCAAAAGGCTTCTGGAAAAATTTAAACTCCGTTTATTAAACTGGATTGTTTGCAATGGCGCCGCATTCCTCATTCTGTTCAGTTTGTCTGAAACTTTAGATTAAAATAAATAATTCCTGTTGAAGCCTCTTTCCTGCATTTGTAATCATTGTGTGTTGTCCATCTCGAAGACTTTTTTCAGTAATAACCTTATCAGTGGGTAATTTATATCACTTAATGTCGCTCTCTTTGCTGAAAGGAAATGGCTGTGTTTCATACAGCTTTTCCGAAAGAGCTTTTTTATTATAAGCATTTAACTCCTCTAAGGTAAACTTTTATGGGATGTTCAGCCGTTTTCTTGATCTAGGTCGATTTCAGAATGGCGGACATTTATAAGTACGGCATGGCACCGCGTATTCTTCATTTCGGTGCATCAATTTATTCGCCGGAGCAAATATTCTACGAGTCTTACTCATTGCAGACAATGCCTGAGGAAGTGGTGTACTGTATAATGTGTTGCTAGTAGTAGCGACTAGTAGTACTACTTGTGGTACTTTTGAGCGTATTAACTGGTTGATAAGAACGATAAGGTGATAGCGCAGGAGCAACGAGTGGACTTCGATTTCCCGTGCTACCGGATTCGAATCCCGAGGCAGGAATACAGTTTCCCTCAACTTCGAATTCCTTTCATCCAGGAGCCTCACCTCAACCTACTTCAGCGCAACCAGCCAAGAAACGTATAGTAAGTCGCTGATTGGCGAACAATGGAGACAGAATGGCGTTCTGGCGTGATCATATCAGTACGGGAGAAGGTACTGTACATTCTATCTGCTGTCAGTGTCGTGACCCTCGGCGGCAAGTCGCTTTGATCCACGTGATAATTGACTATTCAATATGATAACCACCTAGCCACCACAAGGTATAAACCCAAAAACATTCCTCCAGAACTTGATATGAACATTATCACGGTGCAGGTGCCCTGTCATCAATGCGGCCATGTCTTGTACTCCTGCTTCGATGTACATTCGTCTTCTACAAACTGTTTGTCTGTTAATGCCGTGATGACAACCTGCTAATTTTAAACTGGTCTGGTGGGATATAAGACTGTCAATGGACATCTGTAGCTGGTGGATTTGCATGTAGCCATCGGAATCTTGGTTTGTTACCAGATTACCGTCGTCCAGCAGACCACCCCGTTGCTGAAACCGGTATTGATTATTTTTGGTTGGATTCTAAATAGAATTTTTTTCGCGTTAACCTGTAGAAAATATGTAGGTCTACCACAGTGGTCATGACTGTCAAACAGTCACCATAAGGTACTTTCGTACAAGATTTAAAAAGTCACTGCGCATGAGTCATCGATCACCATCGCAAGGCTGTGACCGTAGTCACAGGGTTGCAATCGTCTGGTTTTGCACGTGTTGACAAATTCCTCAACCTCTGCGGTTCACCTGCAGAGAGGACAGCGACTGTGCTTCTGATGAAGTGATGGATGAATCAACGTGCGGTATTGAAAGTGCGTGGACGGGGGGCGTGACGTCACAACCTTCCTCGGCTTTGTATTCCTATGCAATATAAACTTTCTGAGAGCTCTGATGCAGCACTGAATGCTGATTAATAGTGATCTGTGACACATCATCACCGGTCAGTCACCAGAAATAGGGTCAAACTGTTGTTCTGTTAACCTTAGATGACCGTTACAACGCACAGTTGAAGAGGTTCGTAGGAGTACTGTCACGATGGGGGGGGGCGATGACAGAGTCGTGAGCTAACAAGATTGTGCCAGTGACCAATTGCTGCTCAGTGCTTGCCGAATGACCCCGTTCCTCCGGATCTCGACCACGCTGCGAGGTGCATTCCTCAACCGAAGCATGTCGTCGACTGTGACATCGATGAATAATCGCCTACATGTCTCGAATGCGATTGCCTATGATCTTCGTGCCAATTTTTGCGACGACTGTCATCGGCCAATCATAGGGTTTTTGCGCCCGTGTCGTCGACACCACTTTTGGCAACGTGATCGATGGCGTTGGCTGTCTCCTTTGACGTAAAGAAAACGACGCCAGGAAATCGCGAAATGCAAAAAACAGCGTTTGCCTTGCTACACAGACAAATATGCAGTTTAACGGCAACAAATGGGAACTACGACTTTTCCCACCTCCGACTTGGAAGTACTCAGTACTATGAAAGTACTCGTAGCAGAAGTACAGTTTCTACACAAACGCCGGCAACAGTCAATGTGCGGCTCGTTTTAAGGAAAAACATTGGCATAAAGTGCCACATTACTAGCCATCTCCTCAGACAGACTCGGACAGGACTTATCTATGATAATTATTATGATTCCGTGTTATTTCGCAACCACCATCTACAGCTGGCGGCACTACTGCAGGCCTCCTACTATTCGCGACGTCCGTTCGTCTTAGCATTTTATAGTTCATATTCACAGACACGTACACTCAGTCAAGGGGTAATCGATTCCTGATCTACGGCTGTTCTCCATTAAGCCTCATCTGCTCTGTGACATGCTTATCACTCGACCTTCACTGGCCAATAGTCGATTGCAACGTCAGCAGCGGACGTATTAATGAGGTTTGTCGCTTCTGGCAGAGAGACCGTGCAGCCGCATCAGTCGTCTGTTTCTGAGCACCTCCGATATGCCTGTAGGTCAGCCAATCAGCCAATGTCATGCTCTGATCGTTCATGATGCGGCGGTACCACTTGGTTATACACATGAGCTATATTCAGTGCTCTTAGACGCTTTCCACTCCGTTATTATGTCATTTACCGTACGCGAAGCAAATAGGCCATCCAGCTATGTCGCAAAACGGCCTTCGGTAATGACCATTATTCCCTTTTCAAAGTAGAGAAAGCCATCTTGTAGCTGAAAGAGCGTCATATTATCGGCACGATCAACTGATGTGTTGAGAATAGCTAATAAACCCTCATTTCTATCACTCGGTACTTAAAGATCGTTTCGATTATCACAACACTCCGAAGGTACTAATGGTTGATTGCAAAAACAAGAAGGCCAAAATAAGTGTTTTATGTTGTCATTCGGCGCGATGAAGACGTGCAGAAACCATTGTTGGAGAAAAACGACAAATATACTAAAAAATGGCGGACAATTCTGAACAACAGTACCCACTCAAATATGTGCGAACAATGACCTATCATCTCTGCAGGTGTTTTCATTTTTAAATCAGCGAAGCTTGGTTAGGATTACCTAACGGTCAAAGAAGCACTACCTGAAATATGTCAGTAAATCATCGTTTCGGATGCAGCCACAACACTCCTAGCAAAATGAATTGTGGCAGGCAGCAGCAAGTTGGCTCTGCATATCCCAAGCTGCTGGCGATATATATATATATCATTTAGCATTATAAAAGTACCACCATACTATGTGACAAGAGATTACGAGTTATATGGTAGAGACCGCATGGAACTGTTGCCTCATAAACTTGAAACCAATAGCTAACCATAAAGACGGTAAATGTGACGCATATGGATTTCTAATTCCCGCATTTTCTGTAGTGTACCCGTTTATGGAACTTTTTCGTGACAGGTTTGAAGAGTCAATCATCAAACTATTAAAGTCAGGTTCTTAAATGATAGCATATTTCTTCCTAATTCCAGAGTACCTTATGATAGTTCAGATTATTCAAAGTGCTATCTCAAGGTTTCAGTGAAAGCGCATTAAATAAAGTTTCTGAATATGTTCGAATCCCATCATATGGAATTGGTTGTCCAAATTCCGAAATTAAAATAAAACTGAGAGATGTCTCCATATTACGAAAACATTGGTGAGGCTCAGAGACGAAAATGAGGGTCAGTAGCAAAAACATTGTCATTGGAGACAGAACAAAGCATCGATGATCTTCGATCCATCATCATCTACATTGCTATCAGAGGGTTAGGATTTTACCTCACGGTTGAAAGTCAATGATCATGATGAGTAACGATTCGATTAATTCGACGTACGCAAAATTTATACCGCGTGATGGGTGCATCATTCTGTGACATGCCACAAGGAGTTGAAACTGGCTTTGGTCTCCGGTGGACGCCGTGCCTCCCGTCTCGGGCAGACGGCCAGATCGGCGCCAAGATGCGATCGGTCGCCGTCGGTCGAACAGGTTTCTTCAGAGGCTCGTTCGTCGCTATTGGCTCTGTTTCAACTATTCCTCCAATGTGGTGGCAACCAGCGGTGTTCTGTCATCCGCCATGTCATTCGGTGAACTGTCACATCGTTAATTGCCAGTTACACGAAAAAGTTTCTGTGTCTAAATTGAGGCACCGAACATAACTATGGCACGTGAGGCAGTTATTGACTCAAATTTGGACAATGTTATTCATCCGGCCAAGAACGGCTTATTGCCATGGACGGTCCGACAGTTGGCTAGCAAAGGATTGATAATCAGGGGTGCACGGATTATTTCATGTCATTAAGACGAATCTGCAGTGAAAAGCATATTCCTACAACCAACCAAGACAGGAGCATTCAAGTCGCCCTCATCATGAACCAGAAACGGAGCGGCGGAAGCTTCTCGCCATTCCATGTAATCCTTGACTGGGGGGGTTTGAATCACGAACGAGATCAGCCGAAGGTGCGACAGCATAGTCGGTCGGCTGAGGATATCACGAAATGAAAATTCAAAGGAGGTGCTAAAGAAGTCCTTTCCATGACATATGGGGAGGCAGTAATGTTCAGATTTGTACATTTATACCGTCGGGTAAAATTGCTCCGAAAGATGCATGACAACTGGCTGTTCAGACTATAAGCAACACGCCTTCCCAGAGCATTTGAACATGTTAGAAAAACTAGAATAATTCAATGAGTTTGTCATCCCTCCTTTACGTTACTCATATGATGACTGAGGACAGCGATCACGTTCTGCCGTCACTCATGGAAAATGTTTCATATTGCATTGACGACAACAACAATTGGCGTAATTAACACCGGGGATCGCCATTGCCCATTCTCGATCTCCGTCTTCACGCTGGTCTGTCTCGGGCGATTTGTCGCCACAAGAATTCACATCGCTCTTGTAGTTCTTCGTCCCATTTGACACAAGGTCTTCTAATTGGACGTTTGCTGCCCCTTGGGTTGGGTTGTCAAGGCAGAAGTGCATCAGTCATCCGTCAGTGAAGCGACGTCGTTCGTCCAACATAGTCTCAGAAGAGCTTAACACAGGGCCTGAAGGCCACTTTTGCTTATGCCTTCCATTTCTTGCGATCTCGGCAAATGGCTTTGACTACTGCCCACGCTTACCAAACACCAGACGTCTTTGGCAGAAGGCCCGTTTGCCGTGCACCCTTGCCGGATAGGATTCCAAACATTGAAGGCTATGCGAAGCATGGCCCGCTCAGAGTTTCCGTCGATGTGCTTAGATACGGCCGCCTCTTCTCTAGCAACTTCTCCTCCTCACCAGAGAACAGTGGCCTCATTACAAAATTTGCTATTTTGAAAAAAGAATAGGACTTTGAACATTCGGATATTTAATACGACAACAGCTAGGCATGGGACACTACGATGACAGACTCAGAAACGGTAAATTGTTTTTCTCACATTGAGTACGCGGATAAGAAGAGAGTGATCACAACTGAAAGAGCCGAGACTGAGGCTCAGAAAATATTTCAAAGCCACATTCGAACCTCGTAACAATCGGTGGGCATCTTTCGTAGGAAGCCAACATCAGCAACCTGCAACGTTGAACTTCACAATTGGTCAAAATAACACTCCTTTCGTTTAAATAGATTATGTGCCTTCCAAAGAAGTTTCAAATGTGACGAGAAACTGGTTTTTAATTTTCAGACTAATTTATTGAAATAAATTCATAATTGACTTTAACTATCAATTAAAGCGAATTTACGAGTGCGTGACCACTGCCTAATAAGGAAGTAGATCCGTCACGATCCCGCATCTGACAGCGATAAACCCCTACAGGAGAGGTTAAGGTTGGTATATCTGTTACCCGTTTCGATCCTATTTGCAGCTTCAGCTTGCGGATGCAGTTTCTTAATTGTTAAAAGGAAAACTGATCAACAGAGACTATGAGGAAAAATAGCAAACAACGCTAAGTAACAGAATGCTAATGCTGCCACGGCTGTAACCGAGCTGAAATACCTCAGTGAACGCCTCCTCATGCATATTTATTTTGCTGGGGCTTTGCTGAGTTCTAAAGGACTTCAGCGACTTCGTTTTTCCCCAGTTTCCCAATTATCTTAACGCACAACTGCTGAACTATATGGTTCTTCACGGTGCAATGTTCTGTCACAGCTCATTTTTTACAGTTGTAGTTAATTGACTCCTATTGTTATTTTGGAATCCACCTAAACAATCGATTAACAATGGGGAAACTGATCAATCGATCACACATAAGCAAAAATAAGCCTCCTTCTATGTTAATTGACATCATGACCATGTGTACCTCAACCTGCCAACGTTGACCAGTTACGATTCCTCCATGTGGCGGCATTCACATCCCTCATGTTTTCTGGAGCCCTTTCATCTAACCTCTTCGCCATCTTGTGTCGCTTCTTGAGATTATTTGTCACAGCATCAGACGTGCCCTACCAACATATCGATACTCTTCTGCCCAACAAAATGTGTTCTTCGAATCAAATCTTCGCCAAGATGATCCTCAACGATCCTTCACGTAATCTCTGTGAATTTTGGCAAACCGTAAGGCGAAATGTGTAGCACCGAACATTATGTACCTCATGAAAAAATCCTTCATCATTTAAACGCTCTCTCCCTTGATCTGAGTTCTGAGGGCCCCTGTATAATTAAATTCAATGCTGATATGCAAACTAATTTCATTTGAACCGGACTCTTGTAATCTGTTTTTTCTCGCATTTAATTATCATTGCGTTTCTGTTTTTGCCGGGAACAGTGCAGGTAGCCACTATTAATAAATTTCACGTCATATATCATGATCACCAGCAACAGCTACAACAGTTATTTTTCGACCCACTGCGGGATGGTCTCTTTAAGATTTAGTAAAGTCAAGCGATTCTCAGAAAGCAGTTACTGACTTGACATGTGATTATGTGTAGTGAGATAGGTTGAGTTTTGGGCCAGCTAATTTAATCTTTCTTATTTTAGTTTTTGCCTCATTAGCTTCGTTCATTCTCTGACTTGACTAACGATTTATTTCGACCATTAATCTCTTTCAACGCTCATTTCATCTGCAAAACACTGTGTTTGCTCATCAGGCGTTTTCCAATCACCGCCGAGATTCAGAAACGAAATGAGCAGTAGAATTGAAACCCCGTCAGAGTTTCATTAGTTTCAAATTCTTAATTCTTGAATAGATTCATAATAGGTAAGTTCAAAGCTTTTTTCTTTGTTAAGCACAACACTGTAAAATCTTTTCTCTTTAGACTCAGTAGGCCATTGCTCTAAGAGTACCTCCTAAGGAGTTGCCATATATCATGCATCCATATATCTGCATGACTAGCAGACCGAACATGCTGTAGGAAAGGCTCTGTTCAAAGCCCTTATCGAAAGATTTGCAACTTATACTTAACCTAATAAGACATCAGAACTATAAGAAACAAACAGTTCAGCGATGCTTGGTATATAAAAACAGGTAATGCTCAGGACCTTCAAAACAATCGATCTATCATTTGTCACAAGTCTACAGAATCTTTACCTCATTCGCTCTCAACCGTATCCGGAAAGTCCTTGAACTGCTAGCTAGTAAACAAGAACAAGCCGTTCTCCACCATGACAAAATTCGTCTCATAAATCAGCTTATGGATAAGTGCAAAGAATGCGAATTCCCTCTCTGCTACGCATTCATCAACCTGAACTCATTTCACGACTGCAATATCAATCGTCTGCATCATCCTGATCGAGGAACTGAATACTGACACCTCAATCGAAGTCAAGCTGTTGAAGGAACCGTATCGAAGCATCAAATCAACATCAAATGAGTAGTACATGTACATGAAGGAGGCCATCTCTCCTAATCTTTCGAAAACTTCGTTTGTATCCTTCTCTAACCGTCTGTTC